TCATCTGTTCAAATAGGAATTACCAATAGGGATCAAGAATGACTTTTTTGAGGCCAGATAGCCCATTAAGAAAGTGAGAAAGGCTTATATCATCTTGTTTTTGTGAAGCAAGAATAGAGAATGAAGGGTGATATGACAGATTGAAATAAGTAACCTGACAACCAAGTTCCAGAGTATGGAAATGTCAGCCCGCCATCTGCAGAAACGTCAAAGGGGATGAAACCAGTTTCAAACAGCAATGGGGAGAGGCAGTGGGCTTTTCCATCCGTATCAACATAGCCACTGGTTATGACTTGCTGCTTGAATCTGTTGATATTGAAAACATTTCTCAGAGCCATTGTTGAGAGCAGAAAAACTGTGAATGTCTCAGTTGTTTCACTACGCAAGCTATTTTCATGTGCAGGTCATTCCAAGTCCCATGGCTGTTTTGCTTGTATCAGTGAAAATAAAGCATGTGCACTTTGTACTTATCACTGCAGTGGGGATTCTGCTGTGCACTGCACAAATACACAGCAAGTTGCAAACCTTAGATTTACAATTTAATTATGGGAGGGACAAGATAAATTAGTAACAAACTCAGAGCTCATTGCTTGTAAATTAACCATCTGCTTCCAAATAGGGTTCTTGCCTGGCATCCTTACTATAAGCCTAACCAGGACTCTTCAGGATTGATGTATGGGGACTGCAGAGCTATTCCAAGTAGTGCTGTAGGCTTGGGGTCTGCCAAGAAGTAGCTTCTTTGCTCATCTAAACTGAAGTTTGTGTTGGCTATGATAAAGCAACAGTTCACTTAATTCAAAGTACACAGTTGTTGAAAGACTAAAATCTTCTCAAACGCTGCTATGCAGATTGGAGGAATGCTAAAATCTGACTCAGAACCTTCTGTAGAAAAAAACATAAGGAGATCAGGGCTATTAAAATGTGGTGTACCATATGTGTAGCATGTGTGATATGTACTTCAGTATGTCACAGGCTGACACTGAGGATCAAGGATTTGTCTTGCAGGAAAATAGATAAGGTGTCTACTCCTCTTTCTTGTCGTTTCAGTTTAAAAAATCCATATTGCTTTTTCTTAAAATAGAATGTTAAAAAATATTCAAATCATAGTATCATAAACCAGCAGAGATTGGAGGGGCCTTACAGCCCCAAATTCCCACCCCTGCTGTGTGCCCATCCATGGCCTCGGGCTCCTCCAGGGATGGGGCACCAGAGCTCTGGGCGGCTCTGCCAGGGCCTCGCTGCCCTCTGAGTGAGGAATTGCTTCCCCACATCCAACCTCAACCTCCCCTCTATTCGTTTAAAGCCGTTCCTTCTTGTTCTAGCAACAAAAAGTTCAGAAAGGAAGTAGTGATATTGTAAGGGAACAGCTTAACAGAGGAATATGTGTATCACGCAGTAACTCAGCCTACAGGAAGTCATCCTGCCTAGAAATGCAGACAACGCATATCTTTGAGGATAAGGATTAGCAGAACTTTTTCAAGTTTCAGGGTTTTGGTAAGTTTTCACTCCTGTATTGACAAGTTTTGATTTGAGGCAACTACCTACTGTGAGAAAGTGAGATTAGAAAGGGTATCTCCCTTTGGCAGAGGAACATAGAGTCATGGCTCACCTGCACATTAACACAGAAGTATTAAAAGCTGTATTTTCTATCAAAAAATCTTTGCCTCCCATCAGAGATCCTGAGTATGGAGAAATCCGAAGACAAAATTCATTGTAATCAGGACAGCAAGTCCCCAGGGACTGGCAAATCTCCTGGCATGAACAGGTCCCAAGCAGCTTCCCACACTGGCTTGAGCAAGAGTCTTGAGCTCCTTGTTAAAGAACAAATCAAGGGAGAAAAACAAACAACACGTCAGGAATGTCATTGAGTTCTTCTCTGAAGCAGCAATACAACATCTAAAGCACTGCCATAAATAAATGAGGTAGGCTGTTTATGTCAGATGAAGGCAGCAATCACCTGTGCATTAACATCACTCCGTTTTGTTTAGAAAAATTCACTTATATATAATTTCAACAAATCTATGGGTATTTTTATATCTAATAAAAAGGTAAAGCCCATGAGCAGCTTGCCCCTCGTCACCTAGGTAGTGTCACTAGTAATAGTTACTTCTAGGAGTATCATAGAATCACCACAGAGCCATAGAATGGTTGGGGTTGGAAGGGACCCCCGAAGGCCATCTGTTCCCAGTGCCTGCAGTGCACAGGGACACCCACAGCTCCAGCAGCGCTCACAGCGCCGTGCCCTGAGCGTGGCTGTGTGCAGGGATGGGGCAGCACCAGCTCTCTGGGCACCCTGTGCAGTGCCTCACTGCCCTCAGTGTGATCAACTTCTTCCTTATCATTGATAACAGGAATCAATGATAACAGGTTAGTGCTCTTGGGTGAATGACAAGCTGAAACTAGTGACAAAGTGTGATCCAACGTGGGATTATGGAAGGTTGAGATTTCTTCCTGCTGTGCATTTTATTTGAATTTAATGTTAACGACATAGCTGTTAATATAGCTAGGTAGGTGGAGAGATCGCCAGGCCTTGGCTGAGGGCTAACTGAGTAGACCATGAGTTATTATTGGACATGACATGAAAAACTGCTGAATACAACAAAGTAGTAAAAAGTTGACAGAGGAGTGACTGGATTTCATAGTGAAGAGGGATTTGAGTGAGATGGACAAGCTGCACTGATAATTTGGAACACAGGGGAATGGAATCTTTTGATTCTGAATCTTGTGAGACTAACGTTAACTATGCCAATAATACCATGTAAAGTTGAGATGACCTCACTAAACATCAGAATTCTAAATTTGGCCATGAATGTAGCAAAACTGGGACCAATGATAAGCATATAATTAGGGGAGGGTTACTAACGCAGTTGCAGACTGTGTAAGACTGTGCGGCTTGCTGAGCTAACATTGTGAGTATAGTATCTGTATTTGCCTCTTTGGAGCAGGGGTTTATCCTCAGTGCTGGTTGGATCCACAGCAGTAACCACATATGTGGGACTGAGACAGGAGGAATTTCCTGCATGTGGAAGTACAGAAGAGCTGGCAGTAGCAAATTAGGGAGGAGAAATCAACTGCGTTCCAAAATTCTGCAGATTGACATCCTTCCCAAAGGTCATCGACAACATATGAATGAGACTATGAGAGGAAGAAAGAATTATGGTCATAGCTTCAGGTATGATGTTTTCTGTCAAAAGGAGAAGAAAATGTCACGGAGTTTTCTTTTGTGTACTGGGGGGGTGAAGGTGACAGAGGGCTGTTTGTTTTCTGTAGGGCGGAGAGAGCAGGAGAATGAAAAGGTAGTAAAACACCACTATTTCTGTCTCTTTTTGCTGGCCTCCATCCTTTATCCTGAGATAACGTGTGGATGTGGCTCCTGAATTCTCTCCTAGAACACCTGATCGTGTTAGAAGTAAAGCAGAAAAACATCTGAAAGGCACTCACCTGTATTCCGAAGGGCAGCGAGGGAGAAGAAAACGAATAAAGAAACATCTGCACCAACAGATTTCATGCTTTGTTCAGGTGATTCAGGACAGCTGATTGTAACAGCCTTTGTGCCAGAAGAAGAGGAGCCTTTTATAGATACACGTGTCCAGAAACGATAGGGATTCTCACTGTTCAAAGGTTTGTTGTAAACTATTGAAGCAAAACCAAGTCAAGGAATGCTCTTTTCAGAGGTCGTTTCTCATTCAGGAAATGATGAAGGGAGCTGGGGAGGCAGTCAGTGTAATTCCTATATGTTTCTTGTCCTTCTGTCCTTCTGTCCTTCTGTCCTTCTGTCCTTCTGTCCTTCTGTCCTTCTGTCCTTCTGTCCTTCTGTCCTTCTGTCCTTCTGTCCTTCTGTCCTTCTGTCCTTCTGTCCTTCTGTCCTTCTGTCCTTCTGTCCTTCTGTCCTTCTGTCCTTCTGTCCTTCTGTCCTTCTTTCAAAAATAGGAGGAAATAGGTGCTTATTTTCCAAGCCCTTCTGCTCCAAAGCTCAGGAGCATGCAGTCTGTGGCACAGGGCATTATGTTTTAATTTTACTGGAGGCGCTGGAAATGGTTATCAGTAAGAAAAAATCATCAAGAATAGATGCTAACAGTACAGATTTGCTCAGAAGATAGCGTGACATGGGGAAAGCATGTTCGCTGCCCAGTGTGTGCCAGCATGAACGTCATGTGTGAGAGAGAGGAAGAAGATGCTGCAAGAAGCAATTCGTGCTGCTTGAAGGCTGGGGAGCAGTTCTTTCACAGACTTTGTAAGGATGTTCATTGGGAATAAAGGAGGCTGCTGCATGTACAATACCAGAAGGGCAAGGTCAGGGTCGAGGTAGCCGAGCAGTGCCGTTGTTCCTATTGAAACATGCAGTTTTGTTGGCACAAGAATTGCAGCTGTGATGTAGGAGTGCTTTTCGCAGTCACAACCCTCCAGGCCTTCATGAGGAAGATGGGAGCTGGAACAAAACGTGTTTATGATCGAAATTTAAGATGAATCTTAATATATCTACTGAAAAATTGCACATTTTGGACCTCTGATTCGCATTCCTCTTTCTGCTACAGTGGAGCAGAACAAAGCCTATAGGCTGGAGCATTCACAGGGATGCAAGTGCAATTAGCACTTCTTTGGCTGATGACAGTGTGAATCTGAGACAGCAGCGATCCTAATTCATGCCTGGGTCTTCACTGTGAGTACGCTACCCTGTGCCGAGCAGCAGCAGCCTTCAGCCGAAGGAAGTGCGGGAAGCGGACCCGCAGCCCCGCACCGCCTGAACCACGCTTCGCAGAGCTCCTCCTGTCAGGCCCCCCACGGCTCTCGCGCCGCCCCCTGCTGATGGGAGGCGGTACTGCATGCACCGGAGCGGCCCTACCTTCGCGTGTCCGTACGCGTGCGTAGCAACGCCTGGAGGACTTGTACCATAGAGCTTGGCGGACTGTCGGTGCAGAGCGGTAATAGAAGAGAGATGCTTCTTCCGCATCTGGGAGCGCATGTGTATTGCTGCCTGGAAGATCGCTATAGATACAGGCAGAGCGGAAGACTGGAAGTAGTGATTTTCGTTCAGTCTGGCAGCCCTGCCTGTAAGCCCTCTTGGTCAGCGACGGGAAAGGAGGGGCATGGTAGGTGCTCCCCATCAGAAACGCTGCCATGAGCAGCACTGGAGGATCACAAAATCATAGAATGGTTGGAGTTGGAAGGGACACTCAAAGGCCGTCTGTTCCCAGTGCCTGCAGTGCACAGGGACACCCACAGCTCCAGCAGTGCTCACAGCGCCGTGCCCTGAGCGTGGCTGTGTGCAGGGATGGGGCAGCACCAGCTCTCTGGACACCCTGTGCAGTGCCTCACCACTCTCATTGCAAACAAATTCCTTATACCCAACCTAAATCTCCCCTCTTTTACTTTGAAACCATCTCTCCTTGTCTTGTCACGTAGATCCTGCTAACAAATCTGTCGTTTCCTTCTTACAGCCCCTTTAGATACTGAAGGGCCACTCTCAGCTCTCCCTGGAGCCTTCTGCTCTCCAGGCTGCACACCTTCGCAGCCCTTCTCTCAGCCTCTCCTGATAGAGAAGGTGTTCCATCCCTTAAGTTAGTTTTGCAACCCTCCTCTGGGCACACTCTGACTATGGACCTGTCCTTCCTCCCAAGGGGACAAGAAGGGATGTGGTACAGTAATGCCCTACTTGGAGCTGCACCTTACCAGCAGCATCAGCTAGAAGGGCTGGAGTAGCACTTTGCTTGCACTTTGCTCCCTCTCCATTGGTCACCCAGCTCAGTTCAGCAAGGTGGTTGGGATGGGGATGTGTGTACAGCCAGGCGCCGGGGCACTGGAGCAGAACGAAAGGCGCTTGATCCCCACGTCCAGGCAAGGGGCGGTGCGGTGCAGCCCGGCCTCTCAGGGGACAGCCGGGCACTGCGGCAGCATGCAGGGGCTGCTGCTGTGCGGGGGGTGGCTGCTGGCTGCTGGCTACGTGCTGGGTGGCTGCCGGCACCGCTGTTGCCCAGGCAGGAACAACGCCTGCTGGGCCAGCAGTGCACGCCACACTCGCTGCTATTGCGACTCGTACTGTGAGAGGACAGGTGACTGCTGCCAGGACTACCAGGCTGCGTGCCGCCGTGCTGGTGAGCAGTGGGGCAGGGTGAGGGCGGTGGGTGTCGTGTCGGTGAGGTTTAGCCGTTCCCATCAGTGGTCCCTGTGAGAGGTGATGGGCTGTGTTACAGAGCTGGGGCTGTAGGTGGGTGTGTTTCAAACGCCATCCCGGTTTTCTGCTTTTTTCTCTGTTCAGTGAGGGATCCCGCAGCGTGTTCTGCAGCTGGACATGGCAGCAGCAGCAGTGCTGTCACTGCGAGCTCCAGAGCTGAATTTTGGGATGTGGGTACCAAGGGCTGAGCCACACGCTGCTCAGGGTCAGGGGCTGTGCTGGACATCGGCACTGTCAGCGCTCTGTAATCTCCACAGAGATTAGCGAGGTCCCAGCTCAGCTCGATGCAGAGCCTGACAATAAAAGCACACTATGCTGTGGGGCTGAACCACGGGGGTCCCCCTTCTCCCTGCTGTGCACAGATTCTCCCTGCTCCCGTTCCTTCTTCTTCTTCTACGCTATTGAATCTCTTTTCTCTCTTCTCAGCAGTGGGCTGTGCAGTGGGGCCGTGGGGGCCCTGGAGCAGCTGCAGCTCCCCATGCGGGGTGGGCAGCAAAGACCGCAGCCGCCAGGTCACCGTGCCCCCCCAGCACGGCGGGGAGCCCTGTCCCGACCTCAAGCAGCGCCGTGGGTGCCTGGGGGATGACCCGGCCTGTGAGGCTGCCAAAGGTAATGCAGGACCCCCTCCTAGCCCTGCACTGTAGTGACTGTCACCACCTCACCATTGCTGCTCTGTGCCAGGGGTGGCCAAACTGCTCCCCGATTCCTTCAGCCCAGACATCAGGGATCCCTGGCGCAGAACTGGGATGCAGCAGTCAGAGGAGTCACCCAGGTAGGTATGGGGCTATGACCCCTTTGCACACCCTATCCCCAACCCCCCGCAGAACCCCTGTAAGCTCCTATAAAGCAAACACTTCCAACCATTATTTTTCCCCAAACCAGCTCCCACCTCCCCATCTCCTGCAGCTTTTTCCGCCTGACGCAGGTGGCAGCTGCCTGTCGTGGGCAGCCCTGGAGCCGCAGGCTACAGAGGGACAGGCGGGTGTGCGTTGAGTGCTGGGGGGACACAGCCCATGGGCATCCCCAGTGTGATGGATATGGGGTGCAAGGAGCCAGGTAGGCAAATCTGGGGAGGAATGTCCTTTGGGAAATGCCATGCGCCCTAAGGGCACTTCTAAGAGGCATTCCATCTTCCTCCCTATTAAAAATGATAATTTAGCATCTATATTTTTTTACAGCAGGACAACATTTGCTGGGTTTTCCTTACAGGACGTTTTGGGTGGCCACCTTCATAGCAGGGTGCCAGGGCTCGTGGGTGCGGGAGGCTCTGCAGGAGGGCTGCGCCTGTCCACCCCCAGCATTCATCTTTGTATAGGTGAGCAGAGCCCAATTCCTTTAAGGGCATCTCGGCTGCTTGGTGTGGTGTGAGGAGCACAATTAAAGGTGGCACCGAAAGCAAGGGCATGGCTGTGGCAATGCTGTTCAGGGCAGAGTGCCCTCAGGTTGGGTATTAAGAAAAATTCTGCTCTGAAAGAGCAGCAAAGCATTGGAACAGGCTGGGAAGTGGTGGTGTCACCATCCGTGGAGGTGTGACATCTGGGGATGTGGTTTATTGGGCATGGTAGCAACGGATCAATGGTTGGATTCAATGATAACAGAGGTCTTCTTGAATCTTAACAATTTTATCATCAGATGGCACCAACATCGCTGTCCCCAGTGCCTGCTTGTCCCCCCCTGCCACCCTCAGGTGGCTTCAGCTGAGGCCCCCACCTCAGCCATACAGCACCATACCCACATCCCACATGGCTCACTTTATTCAGCCCCATGCACCACAGCACCCAGCAGTCCCTGTGTGGGCACCTGGCAAGTCCCAAAATGTTCAATATCCCCAGGAGCAGCAGCACAGGGCTCCTGGCAGCACCCCGCAGCCCCTCACGTGCCCAACTCCCTGCGCAGCTTCAGGATTTCCAGGAGGAGCTTCTCCTTTTCCAGCACGATCTTCTCCTTCTGCAGTTGCAGGGTCTCCTTCTGCAGCTCCAGGATCTCAGTGTGCAGCCGCCTCTGCTTTTCTGACAGCTCCTCGGAGGCCGCTGTGCCACCTGCACGGAGTGAGGGAAGGCGTTAAGGCTAGGAGGGGAGTGGGAATGGGGTTCTGGTGAGGGTAAAAGGGAGATATCACCAAACTGCTGCAGCATCGCTGCCTGAAGTGGATGCAGAACCTCACTGCGGTGTTGGAAATGGGATCGGGAGTCCCAGCACGGATTGGGGGCTGCTCACCGTTGTCGTGCGGGGGCCCGGGGCTGCCCGTTCCCAGCGATGCGGGACTCGCCATGGCCTCGAGGCACGGCCACGCCAGCGCGGGGCTCGGCGGGCACTTAACGCGGGGCGGCTCGGGGTTGCCAGGCGGAGGTCCGGGGGCTGCGCCTTGCGGCTGGGCGGCCCGGGGGGCGGCCGGTCCTGGGGCGGGCTGCAGTCTGCTCTCCGCGCCGGGCAGCGGCCGCTCCTCGGGGCCGGGGAAGCGTTCCGGAGCGGGGCCGCGCGGCAGCGGCTCGGGGGCGGCAGCGGGGAGCCCGAAGGACGGGGCGGGCTGAGGGCCGGGCTTGTTGAAGAGGGCGAAGATGTGATGGAAGAGCCGCTCCTGGGGCCGCTGGCGGAGCAGCGGGTGTTTGTCGGCCGCCAGCTCCCGGCGCGCGTCCAGCACCATGTTATGCCACTTCTTGCGGATCTCCTCGGCCGTCCGCCGCACCACCGGGCTCAGCGCGTTGACGGCGGCCGCGATCTCCTCCCACGCGCGTTGCCGGTCTTGCGTGTTGCGGTAGCGGCCGCTCTTGGGGATGAGGATGTCCTTGCGGAGGCTGAACTCCTCCAGGATGAGGAATTTCTCCTCGTCCGAGAACTTGATGCGCTTAGGCTTGGCCGCGCTCATACCGCCCTGCGGCGGGGACGGGGGCTCAGGGGTTCCCCCCGCCCCGTGCTCCCGAGTCCTCCGCCCCCGGCTCTCACCTTCCACCGGGCCGGGCCGCCGCGGGAAGCGGATGTGCCGCGTCCTGTTCCGCGCCGGGGCGGAGCCGGTACCGGGGCGGAGCAGCGGGAGCCCCGCGGAGGCCGGCCGGACGCGCTGAGCCCGCAATCTCAGGCAGGGAGAAGCTTCCACGGCGCGGCTGCTGCGGGGCTCTTTATTTGGAATAGAAAACCCGGGCTGGGCGCAAAATACAGCTACAACACCGGATAAAAAAGGTGGTGGGAGGGCAGCGGGGTAACAAGAAGAGCGCCTGTGCACGTCTCATCCTCCCAGCCGGACCCCAGCGAGCAGCGCAGGAGGGATGCGGGTGATGCCGCACCGGTGGCGGTGGGACGGAGCCGCCGCTGTGCCCTGCCCGCTGCTGCTGCTGCTGCCGCACCCAGGCACAAAGGGAGTGGATGCATCCTGCTACCCCTGAGTTCCACCCCTGTACCCGCAGCCATGCTGCAGGGAGCACCCAAAAAACGTCAGGATGCGGCCACGAGAAGCAGGACCCCTCGGTGACATTGCTCCGTGCCCACAGCCATCAGCCGTCCCCATGTGCTTCTCCCTGCTCTGGCGGCACAGTGCTCTGTCGGGGAGCAGGGCCCAGCCCGTGCTGTGCCAGTAGCCCCTGCACCAGAGCCAGCTCCTGCTCCAGTTCCTGGGCACCACAGTCTAACCCCAGCACAGCTCCATGCTCCTCACCCAGCACGCGGAGCACACGGGCAACCAGCTGTGCCCTCACCAGCAGCAGGGCCAAGGCAGCACGCAGCACGGCACAGCCCAGCGCCTTCATCCAGCAGCGTGCAGTTGATTCTGCAGGGAGAGAAATAGAAGGTCCAGTGAGCACTGGGCTCTTTGGGACCACAGGTTTCCCAGCCCAGGGCTGCCACCATACCATGGCTCCATCGCTGCTGGCAGTAGTGCAGGTCCTGCAGCACACCGGGGCCTGCAGCCTGCAGCCAGTGCAGGGCAGAGCTGGGAGCCTTCTCCACGAGCTGCAGCAGGAAGGGCAGCAGCTGCTGCGCCAGGGCGGCTGGCTCTGCAAACACATTGGGCTCATCCTCCTTGTACAGGCTGGGGGGGCTGCAGGGGAGCAGAGGGGACATAAAACCTCTTGCCACCCAATGCTCTTCCCTTCCCAACCCTTGCAGGGGGCTGTACTCACGTGTCAGCCTCCAGGTCCTCTATGATGGCCCTGAGGTTGGGCTGGGGCAGGTGCTGCAGCAGTGAGCTGAAGGTCTCGGGGTGATGCCCAAACTCATCCAGGAGGAGCTGTAGGAGGCTCAGAAGCCCCACATTGCCCTGCACAAAGATGCAGCCATCTCCTCCTGGCTGCCCCTGGCCGTGCTGGACTAGGCTCACAAAGCCTGCAGCCTCATGCCGTACATCAGGGTCCTCATCTTGCAGGAGGTGAATGCTCATGTTTATCACCCTGCGGAGGAAAGAAAGCATTGCTGCATGCCTAATGGGTGCAGTAGAGGAGGGAGCACACATACAGGGCCACTCAGGACCTACCGCAGTGCCACAGGGACGAGCCAGGGGCAAGAAGCCCCCCGGCATTGCCGCAGCATCTCGGTGCCTGCTGTATGCAGGGAGCACGCAGCTGCCAGCCGCAGCACCTCATCTGCCACGGGTCGGCCACACACCTCCAGCATCGTGCACCACCGCTGTACCAGCAGGGCATTCTTGGCTCCAAACCTGAGTGGAGCAGAGGAAGTGGTCAGACACAGCTCCTGGCTTACGGACCACCTGGAGGTCACAGGATCCAGGCACAAAGCCCAGCGCTCTGATCCCACAGCCCTACCCCACAGTGAGCAGCAGGCTGGCAGCACACAGCGCCTGGGAGAGGAGCTCTGGACCAGGGCGCTCTGTCTCCATCACAAGGAGCAGTATTTCCACACATGCTAAGGCAGAGCCCTGGAGCTTCTGGGTAGCTTCCCGAGACCAAGATGGGCAGCTTCTGCAAAGATGCATCAGAGCTTCAAGGTACAATCTCAGGAACTCTTTGTTCCCTCTGTCTTGCAGCACTGACTGTAAGTTCTCCTGGTCAACAATAGGAAAGAATGGACAAGGTCAGTACTCCCCATCAGCAAAGCCCTCAGAAACGCTGTCCTGAGCAGCACCTGAGGGTGCACTGAAGCTGTGCCTCCTCCCAAGAGGTCAGTGAGGGACAAGGGGGGACCACTGTGCATTAGTGTCCCACTTTGGATCTGTGATTTTGAGCCCCACTGTACCAGCAGTGTCAGATGGAGGGCCCTTTCTAGCTCCTCGCATTCTGCTCTTTTCCCATCGGTCACCCAGCTCAGCACAGCAAGGTGGACATCGGGGTGCGGATGTTGCAGAAGTGAGCAGACAGTGTGGATTCTCTTGCTGTCAGCCTGTCGGGCTGCCTCACTGCAAGCAAAGCGGGCCATAGTCTGGTGGAGAATAGCTGCACCCACCTGGAGGGAAACAGAGACCTTCTCTCAATGCTCTGCTCCTGGGCACAGGACAAGGATGGGCTCCCACCCCCCATGCCCTAAGCTTTACAGCAGGGAACAGGAGCAGTACCTGCAGCTCAGCACAGCCCGGCTCCCTGCCCAGCTTGAGGTTGCCCAGCTCAGCACTGACAGCATCCCAGATGCTCTGTGTGAAGCTGGGGCTGAGGGAGCTGGGCAGGAGGGCGAGCACCTGGAGGAAGGCGGCACGGACAAGCGGGCAGCGCTGGGCAGGGCTGAGCAGCCAGCCCTGCGCCTCCAGCTGCAGGGCCACAGGATGCAAGGCCTCAGCAGGCAGCCTGTGGGGACACACACCCTCACCGTGGGGCCCAGAGAGGCACCACAGCCATGGGGCAATGCAGGGTCACTCACCCGTCGGTGCCTGGGTGGGGGGCCAGCAGTGCCTGCATCTGCAGCAGGTGCCCATGCAGGGTGTTGTGTGAGCTGATCCCCCCGGGTGCAGGAAGCTGCCGGGCCAGATGCAGAAGCAGAGCCGGGCGCTGGGACGGTGGGACGACAGGAATCAGAGCTTTGGCAGCCATGGCTCGCACGGCATAGATGGGGCTCCCTGCCAGCTCCAGCAGCGGCTCCAGAAAGTGAGTAGAGGGACTACGGAGTAAAACAGGCACAGTGTGGTGACACGCCGAGGAGTGAACATCTACTGCCAGCACTCTGCCTTACCCGCTGGGGTCATCGGGGCCAGGCTGCAGCTGTGCCAGCAGTGTGAGGATGGCGTGCAGTGCAGGACGCAGGTGAGGTCCCCCTGGCACAGCCGCCCCCAGCTCAGCCAGCAGCACAGCACCCAGCTGCGGGTGCTGCCCTAGGAACGCGGGCAGGCTCAGCCCCTCCACCAGGCAGCCCTCAGCACTGCTCTGCTTCTGGCCCAGCAGCCGTGTGGTGAGAGCACCTGTGGGGAGGGAGCACATCAAACACTCCTGAAGGGCAATGCCACGTTCCAGCCCTGGGATCCACCCAAAAGAAGG